CTCTTCTACACACCAGGAATATAAAAAAAAAGTAAGACATAGACTTCATCCTCAAATAGCCTGGATCTAGGGCCCAGTGAATGTATTAACTAACTTCCTAAAGAACCTAGTGAGCTTAACTGACAAGGATAACTTACGGGTTAAAAACAAAACAAAACCTCCTGTCTTCAGAGAACTTTTTCTTTGATTACCAGGAAAATCATGGCTGACCTGAGCAGTTTCCATATGAATAAAGCATGGCTTTTGCCAGTATAGACATTCTTATCCACAGAGGGCTTTCATTAACACACCTGGGAAAGCCAGGTCCGCTGGTACATCTATCTGCACAGGCATGGACGTTCTGCTTTGAGTTTCTGACATAGTTGTATATTTTAATGATTTTCTGTTCACATTGTACTTTCTGATTTTTAAGACAAATAGAAATGCAGACAAGTAGAAAAAATAAGCATAAAGGAATTTAACAATCTATAACAATTCTTATATGACTTTGTACAGATGTGTGAATAAGAAGTAACTGGATCTCAAAGTACAACTTTCAAAATAATAAAATTGTGTTACTTAAATAAACTAGGAAGTTGATGGTATGATTGAAAGAAGTTAGAAGAAATCCAGTCTGTCTATATATTCTTCAGCATCACAGAACCTACTAGGAGCAAAGGAGAGGATAAATGGATAAATATTCTAAACTCGAGTCAGAGAAGCTGTAAATGAAAATATAGTCTGTTCATTTACTAGCACATGAAGCCCAAGGTAAATAATGAAGCATGAACTCAACTCCTTTAGAAGAAAGGAATTTCATGCAACTATGTTTTATTGAATTTCAAGAGTCTTCCCATCTGAAAAAATTATAAATAGAAGTAAGTCCAAGTAAGTAGAAAATGTATAAACAATAATATCAGTCAATTCTAGTAAGGTATAAGTCTTATTGCAGTTTTGTTTGTTTTTGAGAGAGAAAGGAGAATATAGTGGCAGTGGATGCAGTGAGATTTTGTTTTTTGTTTGTTTTTATTAAATTACTTTAATTCACCAAATAAAATTATTAAAAAACCCTTCTCAGAAAGTATATGGACCTGGGTCTTAGCATAGTTTTTATGTTTAAAACCTATTTAATAATATATTAATTCCACTGAAGATAATAGCCCATTTGTCAAAGAGACTTAGAACTGAACAACAAGGAAGTAGAAGGAAATTGCAGGACATCAGGAATGTGATGGGGTGGAGGCAGTTTGCAGAGAAGTCTCAGAAAAAAAAGCCACAGTCACTGGTGAGGCCTGCTTTAGAAAATGCAGCAGACAGCCAGAGTCTTTGATCTTCTGCCAGCGTGTACTAAAGAAACTTGCCACATCTGAATCTCACATTATGGTATCTCTCAGGGCTGTTATCACTGCAAATCCTGGCAAATGTTCCTGACATAAAACAATAGGAATTCTGCTGTCATTTCTGCATTAGCAAGTCAAAGCTCTGAAAGAAATCCCAGTAGAAATGTTTTTATCAAGTACTATGAGAAAATATAAGACACCCAAAAAGCAGAAAATTTCAAAGCAAGATTGCTGCACCTTTGCATAGTACCTAAAAGGACAGAGTTGTAATCACTGATTTGAAAAATAATAATAGATTTCAAAAACAAACAAACAATAACAAAAAAATTCACCAAAACTTGAAAACCAGGTTCAAAGAATTATGGAGGTAAATGCTTTTATAGGTTGTTATCCAATAAATAACCATATATATATCCCTTGAGTATTTTTCATCTCCCCTCCCTCTTTCTTTTGGAAAGAATCTCTCTTATCTTTTCCACACCCAGTTAATCAAAGACAGTATCTGAGAACAACTTTCTTATAATCTAAACTTCATGCATTATTACACTGGGTAGTGTAAGTACAACAATTCTTCCTGGAAAAAGAAAGATGAGAGGCAATGCACCAGGGGCCACACTCTGAGCTTCTTTAAGGGAAGGCAGGAAGTGAGGAATAAATGCGAATTACTGCTGGCTCATTTTTTATATTGCTTTTTGGTCCACTCTTTCTTCCAAAGCACCACACTGGGTCTACCATAGTAATGATCTAAGGTCCACTAAGCCTGTCTCAGTTTTATTCAAAATTTGTCAGCTAGGAATTACAAGTTTTATGACATTTTTTAAATGAGGTTTAGGGTCTTCAGTTTTGGAGATGCCAAAAACACAATCCTTTCATCTGTGCTATTTAACTTCATAATCTGAGAGATTTGAATGAATGCAAAGGTAATGTAGATAAGGCAAACTTTAACTTATAAAATACTGTAATATGAATGCACACACACAAATTCACATCACATATAGGTCCTAAAGAAATTCATTATAATTGGTTCAATATATTATAACTGAGCATTTTTTTACTTTTCTACAACTACAATCTACCTACTCCTTAAGGCATGTTTAATAAATTATTCCCAGAACTGAAATGCTTTTAAATTACTTTAATTCACCAAATAAAATTATTAAAAAACCCTTCTCAGAAAGTATATGGACCTGGGTCTTAGCATAGTTTTTATGTTTAAAACCTATTTAATAATATATTAATTCCACTGAAGATAATAGCCCATTTGTCAAAGAGACTTAGAACTGAACAACAAGGAAGTAGAAGGAAATTGCAGGACATCAGGAATGTGATGGGGTGGAGGCAGTTTGCAGAGAAGTCTCAGAAAAAAAAGCCACAGTCACTGGTGAGGCCTGCTTTAGAAAATGCAGCAGACAGCCAGAGTCTTTGATCTTCTGCCAGCGTGTACTAAAGAAACTTGCCACATCTGAATCTCACATTATGGTATCTCTCAGGGCTGTTATCACTGCAAATCCTGGCAAATGTTCCTGACATAAAACAATAGGAATTCTGCTGTCATTTCTGCATTAGCAAGTCAAAGCTCTGAAAGAAATCCCAGTAGAAATGTTTTTATCAAGTACTATGAGAAAATATAAGACACCCAAAAAGCAGAAAATTTCAAAGCAAGATTGCTGCACCTTTGCATAGTACCTAAAAGGACAGAGTTGTAATCACTGATTTGAAAAATAATAATAGATTTCAAAAACAAACAAACAATAACAAAAAAATTCACCAAAACTTGAAAACCAGGTTCAAAGAATTATGGAGGTAAATGCTTTTATAGGTTGTTATCCAATAAATAACCATATATATATCCCTTGAGTATTTTTCATCTCCCCTCCCTCTTTCTTTTGGAAAGAATCTCTCTTATCTTTTCCACACCCAGTTAATCAAAGACAGTATCTGAGAACAACTTTCTTATAATCTAAACTTCATGCATTATTACACTGGGTAGTGTAAGTACAACAATTCTTCCTGGAAAAAGAAAGATGAGAGGCAATGCACCAGGGGCCACACTCTGAGCTTCTTTAAGGGAAGGCAGGAAGTGAGGAATAAATGCGAATTACTGCTGGCTCATTTTTTATATTGCTTTTTGGTCCACTCTTTCTTCCAAAGCACCACACTGGGTCTACCATAGTAATGATCTAAGGTCCACTAAGCCTGTCTCAGTTTTATTCAAAATTTGTCAGCTAGGAATTACAAGTTTTATGACATTTTTTAAATGAGGTTTAGGGTCTTCAGTTTTGGAGATGCCAAAAACACAATCCTTTCATCTGTGCTATTTAACTTCATAATCTGAGAGATTTGAATGAATGCAAAGGTAATGTAGATAAGGCAAACTTTAACTTATAAAATACTGTAATATGAATGCACACACACAAATTCACATCACATATAGGTCCTAAAGAAATTCATTATAATTGGTTCAATATATTATAACTGAGCATTTTTTTACTTTTCTACAACTACAATCTACCTACTCCTTAAGGCATGTTTAATAAATTATTCCCAGAACTGAAATGCTTTTGGAAAATATATATTTTAAACTAAACCAGTCTATCTCTCCTAGAGGATATGATCAAATTGAAATTTTTGCATTTTGAAATTTGCCATGAAGGATTTATGTATTCATGTTATGCTAAAGTTTGCAAAAAACAGCAACAGAGTACATAATATTTAAGTCTGATTTATACCCAGTTATTGGGCAGCTTTTTAGAAATTTGTCAGTAGAAATTACCTCAAATGCAATATATTAGATAGCAAATGCAAGTATCATGCAATTTATTTACATTTTAAAACATACAAAGCCCTACTAGGGGGTGCATATCTGCATAATAAAAATGTAAAAACATCCCAGGAAAGGATTACACCTACTATGGATAATGGTAGGTGGGTAGGTAAAGGGATGGGGATGAAGTAAGGCCTTAGTTATATCTCAAATGTTTCATTTCTTTTGCAAAATACAGTGAGCTGACGAAAGCATGATAAAATGTTACCATATGTTAAACCTGAGTGGTACACACTGGCATCTATAAAATTATTTTCTGAACACATGAAATAATTTATCATTTTAAACATTTCCAACATAACAATATTACAGAGTAACACTTTAAGAATAAAGTACAAACTTGGTTTCTTTAAGAAAAGTATAAGATAAATTTTAGCCAAAATAAACAGGCAAAGAGAGGCAACAAAGGGCCAGGTAGTTTATTTGAGTGCCACCCCCGGGTGATGTTCCATGGTCTGAAACACAGGCCTGGGAAGTCACACCCGGTCAGGGAAGTGGAGGCTTATAAGGGATTAGGAGGGGGAGGAGTCCACAAGCTATCTTAGGGGGTGTGGAGAGGTATGATTGGCTAAAGGTGACATAATAGACAACTAGAAACTTTTTTTTCCTTCCAAGAGGGAGGAGGCTAACATCCAGGTCTTAGTTGGCACATCCAAAGGATGGAATTCAGGAAGAGCTGTCCCCTTTCCATATAAGGCACGGACCTTGGGGTCTGGTCTGTTCTCCCCCTATGGCATCTCTCTGTTCTGTTTGCATGTCCTTGTTTTTCCTTCCTCCAGCCTAACAAAAAGTATGATGGCAAATGGAGCAAATATCAACTTCTTCAGAATGGATTCAAACTCTTTCTGTTTTAACAGACATAGATGAGTGTGCTGCAGGGACTCACAACTGCAGAGCCGACCATGTATGCATCAACTTACGAGGCTCCTTCGCCTGTCAGTGCCCTCCAGGGTATCAGAAGCGAGGAGAGCAGTGTGTAGGTAAGTAAGCAGTGTAGTAATCAAAATCCTCTGTTGAGCATCATAATTGTTTAAACCTCAATCATTCTAAACAAAAAACTCATATTTATTTGGAAAATGATAGCTAACAACTGCTTATTCTTTCATTAACTACCAATCCATTTTCCACATTAACAAAAAAGAACTAACCTTAAAGGCTGAACATAATCTGGATATCAAAGTGTGGGTTATATGTTAGACTAAGCAAAAGCAGAAATTTGGAGTATGAATAGGACAACAAAAGCAATCAGAAAACTAATTTAAAAATAGCTATTTTGGGGCCATAGCACTTAAACACTGATGATATGGACTTCATTCACTGGTTCGTGGCATAGCATAGTTTACAGAGCAAATGGTGCTGTTCAAATCCCAGCTCCACACCTAAATACATTTTGAGATGTTGGGCAAGTTATTTAAATACTCTGTGTCTTACTTTTTTCCTCTGTGCTGTGGAGATAATACTAGCCCCTACCTCAGGAGCTCCTATGTGGATGTGCTTAGAACAGTTGCTGGTCCTGGGCTGAACAACTATCTGTGTGCTATCATTATATAATGAGATGAACAGTATTAAACATTATGCTCCTATGGCATCTCTCTGTTCTGTTTGCATGTCCTTGTTTTTCCTTCCTCCAGCCTAACAAAAAGTATGATGGCAAATGGAGCAAATATCAACTTCTTCAGAATGGATTCAAACTCTTTCTGTTTTAACAGACATAGATGAGTGTGCTGCAGGGACTCACAACTGCAGAGCCGACCATGTATGCATCAACTTACGAGGCTCCTTCGCCTGTCAGTGCCCTCCAGGGTATCAGAAGCGAGGAGAGCAGTGTGTAGGTAAGTAAGCAGTGTAGTAATCAAAATCCTCTGTTGAGCATCATAATTGTTTAAACCTCAATCATTCTAAACAAAAAACTCATATTTATTTGGAAAATGATAGCTAACAACTGCTTATTCTTTCATTAACTACCAATCCATTTTCCACATTAACAAAAAAGAACTAACCTTAAAGGCTGAACATAATCTGGATATCAAAGTGTGGGTTATATGTTAGACTAAGCAAAAGCAGAAATTTGGAGTATGAATAGGACAACAAAAGCAATCAGAAAACTAATTTAAAAATAGCTATTTTGGGGCCATAGCACTTAAACACTGATGATATGGACTTCATTCACTGGTTCGTGGCATAGCATAGTTTACAGAGCAAATGGTGCTGTTCAAATCCCAGCTCTACACCTAAATACATTTTGAGATGTTGGGCAAGTTATTTAAATACTCTGTGTCTTACTTTTTTCCTCTGTGCTGTGGAGATAATACTAGCCCCTACCTCAGGAGCTCCTATGTGGATGTGCTTAGAACAGTTGCTGGTCCTGGGCTGAACAACTATCTGTGTGCTATCATTATATAATGAGATGAACAGTATTAAACATTATGCTGCAAGTGGGTATAGTGCTAGAGATACAAAGATCATGTGCCTGTACTTAGCTCCCTGAGGACTGGCCAGGTCTGGTTAGTGTTACTGTTGTCTTCCCAGTCTATGAAGAGTGCCTGCCTTGTCACTGCTTTGTGCATGTTTTTTGAATGTCTGAAGGAACACAGTATGAGTTGGCTGACTGGAAAATAAGAAGTAAACTTAGTGTCTGGGCTCCATCATGAATTCCAGCACTAGGCATGAAACTCTGTAATTGATTCCTTTTATCTATTGATTTATTTACCCCCTTCTACCATATATTGGTAAAGAATCCTTATTTTCTCTTAGGAACAGAGGATAAGGATGTGAGGACAGGACACCAGTTATCAATTTTCATCTGAGAATGTAAGCCTTAGACATCAGGCTGTCAACACTGAGTTCCTCACGGGCCCAGCCCAGTTCTGCCTGCCATGGGGCTGTGCCTAGATACTGGGGTTAGTGCCCAGCCTCTGAGGAAGGTCCAGGTTTTGCAGTGACTGAAGCTATAGTTTAGGAGAAGACTGTTTGGGAAACTCCACAGGCACCAAAGTTTTGCCAGAAAAAGAACTAATCCAACCTACTATGGGAAGAATCAAAGAGAATGGAATTTATGATTATAGTCCTCTATGATTTAGTAGGAGGTAAATTCATATCTAATCATATGCTGTTCCCCTCACCCACAGAACCAACTCTAATTCCTTAAAGAGCATATAAGGTCTTCCACAGTCTGATCCTTGCTGAGGTCTATTGCATCAACACCCCTCTGTTACCACCAAAAATTACACTCCAGCTTTAGCCCTCTAGTTTTAGTTCTCCCCATTCATCACACAGTGTCACACTTTAGTGCCTCTACATAATCGCTTTCAGCACCAAGAACATGCAACCCTGACAAACTCTTATTCAGCTCTCAAATCTCAGCTCAGGGTCACTTCTTCTGGGAAGTCCTCCATGATCTACCCAAATATAATTAGTCACTCCCTCCTCTATGCCAGTACTTCTCAAACTTGGATGGATAAATTCTGTAAATTTCCAATCTGTTGCACATCAGTATTTCTGTTATATACTGTTATTGTAGTAACAGCAAATTGCTATTCCTAAACATGTACTCTCAATTTCTGTACTTATTCATTGCAGATTTGTCCAACTAGTCCACGGACCAACAGTAGTCAGCAGGCCATACTTTGAATAGTAGATGTCCCTTGTATACCTTTCTATTGTTGATCTTATCATTCCATGCAGTAGTTTTTCATGCCATCTTCCATACTAGACAAGGATAGAATGTACATATATTTATTATCATTACAAATCTGCGGTGTCAAACACAATGCTAGCAAATAACAATGGTTAATGAGTGTTTACTGGTTGAGAAGACATGCATCATTTATCCATCAAGTATTTATTGAGGGCTGACTATGTACCAAGTAGGTGCTGGGCCATCATGGTAAACAAACAGATTTTATAGAATCACAGTCCTCATGAAACTATTAGAATGTACCATTTATATAAATTAGCTATTGATGCTAGCACTGGGCTCTAATACTGGTGACTAGAAAGAACTATGCTAAACTTGCTCTTAATTAGCATGGCATTTCCACTCATTCAACTAACGTTTATTGAGCACATTTTAAGCCAGATTCTATTCCAGGAATTAATCATACAGCAATGAATAGACAAAAATACTCTACCTCCACTTTAAGAGGAGAAGACAGGTCTTATTCACCATAAACTATAGTGAGGGAGACACACAAGAAGCAAAACAACACAACACAATATTTAGGACTGTCAATTGCTATAAAGAAATATAAAGCAGGATAAGGAGATAAATGGCGCACCAGAAACTATTTTATATGTATGGGATGGGCAGAGATAACATCCCTGAGGTGACCTTTGGGCAGACACCTAAATATAAATGGGGAGAAGCCATGTGAATATCATTATCATTTATTTCAATATTCAAGTTAAACCAAATGTTTTGCAACTTTTCAATAATAGCTCCCATTTATTTTTACCTGTTTTGTGTGAAGAAGTTTGCCTACATTATCTCACATAATCTTCCCAACAATTCTGCTACATTATTGTATCATTACTTACAGAAGAAGAAATGGAAGCTCCAAGAGATTAAGACCACGCTAGCAACTACCAGAGAACAAAGCTTCAAACTCAAGTTACCCAGGGCCACTTGAACACATTGCTTCCCACACTTTTCCTTATTAAAGTACCATAAGAGCTCAGCATAAAATTTTGTTTTTTGTTTTTTGTTTTTACCATAAGATAGTGGTGTCTCTGCATAGTCTTACATTGTACATGCATAATTGTTATTTTAAATATGCATGCCATGTTGGGGTTGTCACAAAGTGTAGTCATGAGTTAATGAAGTTTTATTATGCTTTTAAGATGTTAATCTTCCTTGCAAGTTCTCAATTGAACATATTATAGTTAGAAATATTTATATGAGAAGGACACCAACAGAAAGGCTGGAATGCTTCCTGAATGTGCCAGGGGCACTCTCAAGAGGTAACTTGTTTAGCCTTCTATTCCTTGACAGCACTCTTTCATTTGATTCTTACAGAAACCTCAAAAGATACACATAACAAGCAATACTATCCACATTTTACAGAAGAAACAAACAAGATACTGAACATTTAAGTGACTTTGCCAAGGTCACCAGTTAAGCAGCAGCCCACACCTCCTTTCTCTTGGTTTTATACTACATCATTCAGTTCTTCCATAGTTCTGTTTTTACTCCTGTTATTATAAGTAAGCTTTTAGGTCCCCAAACTGACATTATCATATATGTGTGAAATAGCCTTAATTACTTTTCTCTCTTTAAATCTCAACCCAGCCAACCTGGTTTGTGAAGTCTTTGTTTCTAACATCTCATTTAATTGTAGAATGTTAAAAGGCTTATGTTAAAAAAAATAGAAAAATAAAATGAGGTCTTCTGTGGATAGGTTTTCTAGGTAATGCTCTGCTGAGAACTTGAGAGCAAATAGCTATGCATGGTCAATAATTTGCTTCTGTTTGTGTGTGTGTGCCTGATAACCTAGACATAGATGAATGCACCATCCCTCCATATTGCCACCAAAGATGTGTGAACACACCAGGATCGTTTTATTGCCAGTGCAGTCCTGGGTTTCAGTTGGCAGCAAACAACTATACCTGTGTAGGTAAGCCTTTTGGGAACTGCCATCCTGCCTAACTGCTTTCTGTCCAAAAAAGCAAACCCTATGTTATATTGCAGTATTTCCAGTTTTCTATGTTCTTGAGTAAACTGCTTTCCATCAACCTCCCTGCATAAAGCTGAAAAGACAATAACCAATCTGTTTCTTAAAACACATCAAGATGTGAATGGAAAAGTTTGTTAACCTTGGTTTTAGTTCTCCCCTGTGAGTGTATCAAAAAAAAATTAAAAACTACAGATCAATTGATATACACATACCAATTAGTCAACAGTGTGTAATATAAATGCTGAAAGTGCCAGAGGGGTTACTGCAAGTTCAAGTACATAAACTTTCCACTGAAAGTGCGTCTGATTTTTACACGCTTCTCCCTTTTCAGAATGCAATGTCACAGCACACAATTTTAAGATTGGCATGACATGGAAAGAATCTAGTGCTGGAAAAATGCCTTTTCACAATATTTTCAGTGCCTTAGAGCATTGCAAAACTCTGTATGGGTCTCAAAGGCTTATGTTATAATTGTAATGGAATTTAACAGAACCCATTTAAAAAGTAATAAATAGCACAGATAAATCTTCACTACAGCATGCTGAGAGACCGTATCAGTATGAATGTCTTATGTCAATGATTTATAGAGTTGGCATTTTTCATCTGAACAACAATAAAAGAAAATAGATACTGGAATGTATATTTATTAGAATCATTAAATTCTTTTGGAAAGACTCATCAAACACCAAACTAACTGTCATTCCCAGAAAAAAATATTCTGGTATTTCTACAAGAAGTATATAACAGATGTTTGAAGTTATTCCAGTAAATATGAAACCTGAATGGATGTTCTCCAATGAGCTTCTGCAGGACAAAGAATCCAGCTAGGGAATTGCTTACTTATCATCAGATGACATAGGTACAAAAGGAGCAAATTTCAAAACATGGATATATAAATGTATATAACTTTTACTTTCAGACATAAATGAATGTGATGCCAGCAATCAATGTGCTCAGCAATGCTACAACATTCTTGGTTCATTCATCTGTCAGTGCAATCAAGGATATGAGCTAAGCAGTGACAGGCTCAACTGTGAAGGTAAAATATTTTCCTAATAATTTGTAATAAGAGTCCAATCCCTGTGGTTGTTGTTGGTTTATGTGATTATGTACCTGTTTATGAAAACAAATTTTTATCCATGGAAATTCTGTTCTAAAATCTAGTTAATTTGGTTCAGTTATAACATTGGCTTTTTTAGTATGTTCTTAAGAGAAAGAAGAAATGAAATAACTGAAATTTTAGGGGCAGGGTGGGTCTAATAATTAGAAAGGGTGCTCTAGTGTCTTTCCTCCCAAAGTGTGATCCAGTGGCCATCATTGGCACCTCCTGGGAGCTTTTGAGAAATATAGATCTCAGGCCTTAGCCCAGACCTACTGAGTCAGATACTACATCTAACAAGAATCCCAGGTGACTGGTATGCACATTTAAGTTCAAAAAGAGCTGATTTTATGTCAGAAACATTAGACTAGAAACCAGGAGACCTGGCCTTTAGTCTTATTCCTGCCACTGTGTGAAATGGGCACATTTCCTAAGTTGCCTGGGTTTCACTTTCCAGGTGAGTAAAGAGAGGGCCATTTATCTGGAGGGATGACCTTCAGAGTCTGTTTCATGTGCCTGCTCCATAAGACACCTCCCAAAGGATGCCATTGATACTTGATGTCCCTGACCTTCTCACAGACCCTCCCAGCTTTGCTTGATGCCTCAAAGCTTTACTTGAGGTCATACCCCACCCAGAGAGACCTCACATCATGCCTCTGTGCTCAAACTCAAACAGGGCTGTCTCTGGACAGCTGCTTCTGCCCTTCTGAGCAATTATAGGAACATTATCATTGCAAAATGCAAAGCAATCTTTCCCTAAATTCCCAGTTCACTTAGTCTGCTCAGTCATAATGGTTAGGTCCAGGATTCTCCAATATGTCAGCAATAATTAAAACTGATGTTAAGAAAAACACTTTGTGCTATATGTTCTGGGGAAAATGAGCTGATATTGTTAGAATTTGCCCTTGAGCATCTTATGAAGTATTTTTGCTTCAGAGTTTGCCATGTTTTTACTCTTATCACACCTAAAAATATATTACCAAAGTAGTGATGTGTGAGTTTTTAAACTCTGTATCCTTGCCCTTGTCTGATTCAACAGACATTGATGAATGCAGAACCTCAAGCTACTTGTGTCAATATCAGTGTGTCAATGAACCTGGTAAATTTTCATGTATGTGCCCCCAGGGATACCAAGTGGTGAGAAGCAGAACATGTCAGGGTAAGTTTATTATTATCATATTTGTTAAGTGTTTAGTCTTAACCAGGAAGAGCAGGTGAGAAGCTACAGGATTCTCTACCTTAGACTTCCATTTTTTTCTACTTTGAATATGTCATTTGACTCTTTTTCTTCCCTGTTTATCATAAGATAGGCACATCTCATAAAGAGGGTACTATTCAATGTTAGCAGTGACTTTCCTTGAAATGTAATCATTTTCCTTAAGACATAAATAACTTTAATAAAATATTGATATCCCTTCTATATAGCCTACATAATCTCTATGATAGACATCTTCTAATCATCCATCAGAAAATATTCAGTTATTAAAAGACTTCACCATGAGTTTGAGTCTAGAGCATAAGCATAAGCTTAGTAAGGGGGTTAGGCATACCTCCAACCAGTCTCAATTCTCTAAAACACCAAGATTATAAATTGGATAATAGTTTACTTGCTGAGAAAATCAGCCTTGTGTGCATTAAAATGAACTTAAATTTTCTGGCAAAAAACTACTGATTTAAATATAGCTAATATATGTGGTTACAGTTTTAAAATAAACATTCAGGTGATCTTCACACCTACACATAGTTGGAAGAAGCAGTATATGGTATGACTTCAGAGTCTCTACAGAAGATCTGAAAATATGCACCCTTTTTTCTCTACCTCTAATGTTGTTTAAGACTTAACAGGAAAACACTGCTTGGATAAAACCAAAAATGTAGATAATCCTGAAAAAGCTAATACAAACACATCTACATAAAGCAGTAAAAGAGTGAAAAATATGACTGAACTTGAAAACAGAGAATCTGTTTGAGTCCTAGATGTACAGCATTTATCTGTACAATCTTGAACCAGTTATCAAACTTATCCAAGCCTCAGATTTCTTATTTGGAAAAAGGAATTGAGGGAATAATATACACAAAAATCATTTGTTAACTATAAAGACTGTACAATTCAAGGTGTTTTTATTTACCTAGTAATATAAATGACTAGTAGCAAATCTTCTCTAAAAAATCCTTTTTAATCAGAATTGAGATAGGATTAACAAGGGCAGTGAAATTCTGTTAAGAAAGAAAAAGATCAGGGAAAGGAGACAAGAGAGATTCTAAATCTATATCATGATTTTACAGGAAAATATTAACTCAAAGGAACATCTATCTCAATGATCATTTAACTAGACTCTAAGCACTAAATAGGAGCATAATCAGAATGTCATTGCACAATGAACATCTTTATACCCTTTCTGGGTTACTAGACTCTATATTGTTAATTGTTCCCACGGTTTTACTTTCTAAACTGAATTGAAACTTTTAATGTGAAGATTACATACAGGCAAATGTTAGTCAGTAGGATATATTAACCAATTTCCCTATAGTCTTTCAAATGAATGTCTATGTGTTTCTGATCATAAATAGATTTGATACTCAGCAAAAGACAGAAACAAATTACTGTACAGTGGAATTTTACCTGTCTATATGGAAATATTTATATCTATTGTAATTAAAGGTGAATATGCATTGGAATTGCAAATAGGGGATTCATGAGCAATACATCTAAAAGAGATATATCTTCAGATTATTTGGTTAAACCAAAACAATTTTTGTGAAAGAGACTTAACATTCTCTTAAGGTACAAAGCAATTAATTTCCCCCCACTGAAACCATCTCTTCTCAACCTTGTCCACAGATAAAGTAAAACTAAAAGAGTTTGGACTTACCTTCCCCAAATGGCTTATTTTGGGGATGAAATAACTTTTTTCATTTCCACCAGACTTGCAAAAATGAAAACTCTATGCTTGGCCGTGAGGAGACAGCAGGGATGGAAGAGACAGAGAAGGCAGATAGATATACACAGACTCTCATCAAATATTTTAATACTATTAATAATTTCTGAAAAACCTTCTAGAATCATTAAGATGTTGATTATGGTAGGATCTAAATTACCAGAATAAATAAATGCATAAATTATTGTATAAGTTTCCTTTTACTCCCATATAACGTACCAGTGTTATATAACATATGGTCTCTATACAACAAACAAGTATTAGTTTTCCCTGTAGCTACAAAACATCTTTATTTTTCAAAAATGTGAAAAATATTGAAAGGACAGGCAATTGTGATTTCTTCTGAGGAATCTATATTCTTTCTTTAGCCAGTCCAAAAGAAGACAGTTCTTGTAACTGACTCGTGGTAACTGCATATCTTTCCCAGTCTCCTATTGGGTGCCAGTTTGGAAGCTCAAAGAAAATTTTCTCTCCAAAGACAAGGCATGGGATTATTCTCGTATAAAGGATGCAGTACCTTGCAATAGAAAGGTGCCTGTTACTGGGTCTATGAACTTGGACCAGCTACTTAACCCTTATTTAATTTTCCTCCATCTCAAATACAGATAATATCTTTCCTATGTCTACAACGGATTGTGTAAGGAGCAACTTGGTTCAATTTGATATTTCTTAAAAGCCAGGTGCCCCCCACACATTAATGCTAGGTGATGAAGGGATATAAAGGTGGATACTATAGCAGTTGAGAAGTTTATAAGCTAATAGGAGGGTTAAGACAAACACAGGTATATCAATAATACAAAGCAGAAAACAATTAAGCCCCTTAATCTAAAGTCAGTCTTTGTTCAGCCTGGCCTGTTCGAAGCTCACCTTTCTGAAACTAATCTTTCTGACTTTCTTGTACTGCCTTTCCTGGGTTGCCTCTCACCACTGACAGCTCCTTCCTTATTTCCCCTTCTTCCACACTGTCTTTAAATAGTTATGTTCTATAAGGTAGACTACTTCATAGTTTCACTTTTTTTGCTGTGCTTCCTCTGGACAGTATAATCCATTCCCAGAACATCAGCTATCCACCAGCCTGCTACTGCTTACTGAAACCACATCTCTAGCCTTTACCTCTCTCTGCAGCTCCTTATTCAGATGATAAACTGCTCCCTCCATACTTGTGTATGCTACTTTCTCAGCCTGAAAGGCCCTCCCCACACCAACTATGAAAATCCAATCCAGTTATCACCCTTCAAGCCCAAATTGAGATGTCTCCTCCTTCTTTCAGCCTTCTCTGACCCAAGCAGAATTAATCAGTTCTGCTTCTAATCTTCTAGTGCACTTACTTATCTCTTATTTAATTCCATTTTGTTTTACAACTACTGTTACCTTATCTGTATTCCTAACTAAATTATAACCTCCCTGAGAAAAAGAAGTAATATTTTTCACTTTTATATAAGCAAAGCCAATGACTAGCATCTGGCTCTGAATCCAACAAATAAGCAATAGGTGCTTAATAAAATATCATGAAAGGACACATATTAATCTGTCTATAATGGCTCAGCTACATCTCTCCTGAATTAAATGTATTGAACTCAGGTTCCAGTCTTGTGTCTAAAAGCAAATTAAACATAGTCCATATTCCCAGACACTCCCCACCTTGGAAACCTGAATCTGTCACTTACACAATTTATTTATATTGATAAACTCTTTGACCCTACATCTCTGCAGATATAAATGAGTGTGAGACCACAAATGAATGTCGGGAAGATGAAATGTGTTGGAATTACCATGGCGGCTTCCGTTGTTACCCACGAAATCCTTGTCAAGATCCTTATGTGCTAACATCAGAGAAGTAAGAAAAATCAGAACTTCTGAAAGTGAGAATCATCTGGTCTTACCAAGCTAAACTGGTAAATACTTTTGTCTCTGCAGCCGATGTGTTTGCCCAGTCTCAAGTGCAGTGTGCCGAGAACTTCCCCAGTCTATAGTCTACAAATACATGAGCATCCGATCTGATAGGTCTGTGCCATCAGACATCTTCCAGATACAGGCCACAACCATTTATGCCAACACTATCAATACTTTTCGGATTAAGTCTGGAAATGAAAATGGAGAGTTCTACCTAAGAGTAAGTACCCTTAGGGCAGCTGTTGACAAAGGTGGAAGGTTGTTATTGTTGTTTGGTAGTATTCATATGGAAGGAAAGCTAACATTTAAAAAGTTCTTATGTGCAGGTATTGTGTAAGGCCTTCTAGTATGTATTATCTCATTTAATCCTCTTGGTAACATTGTCAGTTAGATAATATTTATCTCCAATTTTACAGAAGAGAAAAGGAAGACTCAGAGAGATTAAGTACCTTCTTTACAGTTATTCAGATACCAAGTTGCAGACTTTAATGGAGTTGTGTACAGACCATCAAAACACAAGCCTACACACACACACACCCGAAACAGATACCACAAGTCAGTGACAGTTATTTAATTGTACATAGAAAAAATTATTCCTGAAGAGCTTCTCAATGAATTCCTTTTTGATACACTCAAAAGATTATTTACATTTTCACCAAAATTTAAACCTTGAAGTCTCTGAGAAGTGACCCTAAGCCCCTGCAGTAGTTGTACCTATCATTCTTGCAAACTTCCAGGCAAACAGTGTGAGGTCACCTTTGTACCTTCCCTTTCTTTCATTGCCTATATGAAATCTTTCTCTGAATTCTGCCATTTCTTTCTTCACAATGTCTCCTGGGTTATCTTTGCCTTCCCATGCTTTTCTCTCTCTTCCTTTAAAATGACTCTTAGCACCTCTCTAATCCCTCCAAGGGCTTCTGAGCAGATCTCTCTGACTCCAGTGCCTGAGCCTTCCAGCACCCTGTGCAAAATGTTAGCAAGTTCATTTTAGGTTAAAATTCTGACATATTTTAAATATGGCTCACCACTTCATGTGAAAATGATGGCACCCCACCAAGCAGTTTGCAGGGTTACAGTAACTGTTTCATTCTAAGGATGTTATTTATCTAGTTATAATTTTTTCAAAATTCCTTTGGGCACTCTTCCTTTTCAATCAGATTTTTAAGTCAATATTTAATTTCAAGAATGTGAAAAGTATATTGGGAAATCCATCCTTGTGGTAAACTTTACAGATTTTTAATGTTTACATATTTATCCTGCTCTTTGATATGTTAAATTCCCTTCCAGCTCCAGAATTATGTGATTCTGGTTTTTTCCAGTAAATTAGAAATGATTAATTTCTCATGACCAACTTCTGAATAGAAAAACCCAAAATACAATCTATTGCTGTATTGCTTCTAATAGCAATGGATAAACTTCTTTAACATTTGATGCTTTAAATTTGAGATATACTAAATATTCATAAGAAATTTACTCCAAATGAATTTTACACAGTTCAAGTAATACCAATTTAATAATTCTAACCCAAACAAATAACATTATTTGTAACCCACGGTGATAAAATAGGTCCATGTCAAAATCTTTAAAAATAATTTTCCATTTTGGACTCTTAGCCATAATTTCAGAAAATGGGATTTCCTAGTAGAATCAACAAACTGTTAAGCAAAGTTTCAGCCATGTTTTATTCCTTGCAATAAACATGGCACTTTAAAAGTTTTATGATTTGTATCAGTGCATTTACTGACCTGATATTTTCAAATATAAATATGCACAGTGTTTTTCTCAAGCAAAATCCTATTTTTTCATGAATGATATAAAACACTGCCAATTTTGATAACCCTAGAATAAAATAATATTAAGGTATTTGAAATAAAAAACTATTTAAGATAAAAAGACATCTCAAGACTATTATCACAGAATTCGATAAGTAGTTGGATGAAATCCTATAAAACTTCTCCATTGAAATAAGGACCAATTAAGCAATTACTGTATTTTTAGCTTCATGATAGGTGCATGTGATACACAGATACTTATTTCAAAGAGCTTTAAATATTACTGTGTTACAAAAGTTAACATCTGTGAGAAAGAAAGGGGCAATTTTGTGTTTAATTCCATGGTCCAAGACCTTGAAGAGTTCTTGTGAGCTGGACTAGTCAAAGAAAGTTTCCTGATGGTCATGAAACTGAAGCTGATCTTTGAAAGGATGTGTGTGAATAGGATTTATTTATATTCCTTTGGGAGAATACTGAGAAAAACCTTCCCTAGAAAAGGGTACATATTGTATAGAGGTAGTATATGAAATTGAAGTTGAAATTCCATCAGCACCCACCCCATGCCACCCAGTATCTGTCCTTCCTTATTGTGCCTTATCTTTTGTCATAGCCCTATACCACCTTGCACAGCATTCATTGGTCTGTGCTGTCCACTAGAGTGTGGGCATAAGAGAGATGACTTTATCTGTCTATTCACTCTTCTATCTTTAGCACATAGAATAGTAACTGGCATATAGCAGGTGCTCAAAGAATATTATTAAATGACTGAATTATTTCAACCAACGCTTTCAAGATACTATTACTATCTACAAGCAACAACCACCATACTATGTCCTAGAAATATAACAGTGAATAAGACCAAGCCAATTCCTGCCCCATTAGAGTTTATAGTCAAGACATTGGTCACAGGTACACTGAATGTCACAAGAGAGAGTTGCACAATGTTTATGAGTGCATAGCAAGTTAACTGCTAGGATAAGAGTGATCTGCAAGCTTCCTGGAAGAAGTGAATTTAAGTTGAAAACCCACACTTTAATCCAGCAACCCTAGATCAGTCCCATAATCTATGCCTATTTTCAAACCCCATTTGTCAGCACAGCCTCCAATTTATACTGATATGGGTCCTCAGTACACTCAACAATCCTATTACTTTCTTTTATTTCTTCTCTTTAGACACTGATTGCAAATGGACCAACACTGTAAGTTCTTACACCCTTCCTTTTCAGTAGGTGACCTCACCTCCTACAACTCTGAAACCACTGAGGCCAATAGGTATGAATTATCTGAATTTCCCACCCACCCCTGCAAACTTAAGTTCATGTGTCCCCCTTGTTACCTTCTCCCTCAAGTTTTCCAAAGACAAGGTTTCATTTCTGTCAATCAAGGACAACCCACCACCTGTATTCTTCATTCCATCTACTCTGCAACTTTTTCTGTCAAATTCCCATCTATTTCCATCTACATATTCAGCTTGTTTCTTCCTTTAGATGTTGTCTTCTCTCTTTTCTCCCTTTGCAGCCAAGGTTTGTAAAGCACAGTCTGTAACTACAGTCTCTCCTTTCTCACTTCCTAGTTACTCCTCTACCTTCTTCTATTCCCATGTTTACCCTACTGAAGTTGCTGTGGAAAAAGGCCATGAACAATGAACAACATCCATACTGCTCAATCCAGAGGACACTTTTCAGTTCCAGTCATCCTCAGCCTCCCCTGCTCTGTTGGACACAGCTGGCTACTCATCTGTTTTCCAGTTAATCATCTATTTCTTCTCAGATTCCTTCAGTGGCTTCTCCTAGGCCCACTCCTTAAATGTCTGCCTCTCCCAGATGCAGTCTTATCACATATACATTTTCTCCCTTGGTTTAATGTCCACCCATTAAAGTGACTACTAAATCCTGATCCACTGTCCCTGCCCTTCTCTAAGTATTCAGATTCACACATCTGCTTACCTGCACCTCCAACCTCATCTCCCTCCACTCTCCAGTACCCATCACATTCTTCACCAAAAGGATACTGCATCCAGTTCTCCTGACATGCTTCTTTCAAAGCTTCTGTTTACCCTGGGTGACCCTCCTCAGGCCTTCAACACTTCAGGGTCTCTCCTCTTCTTCCTTGCATGTATACACCTTTATATATCTTAGAATTTGCCACATTCTATTGAAATTAATTACTTACATGTCATTTCACCTACTATAATATAAACAGATACATAACACTGAGAAATGAAAAATGACAACTTTGTTTACTAACTAGTTCAGAAATTATCAGAATCTCACCTAAATGCCAGTCTGTGTTAAGGCTAGTACTACTCAATAAAGATGAAGAGAAACAGAAACAGAGATAGAAAAATAGAAAACACAGAACTATAAAAAAAGCAGACCCTGTAACTTGGAACTAATGACTGTGTGTGGACAAGGGAAAAGAATCAAGAAAGGCTGGAACCAAGAAGGAACTAATTAGTGGTTTGTATCCTACTCTTAAAATTCTTCCCCTGATTCTTATAAGAGGTATACTCACAAACAATAGAAACTTTAATCCAAAAAAATTCTCTCCTTCCTTCTTTTTTTTCTTTTGTTTAGCAAACAAGTCCTGTAAGTGCAATGCTTGTGCTGGTGAAGTCGCTATCAGGACCAAGAGAATACATCGTAGACCTGGAGATGCTAACAGTCAGCAGTATAGGAACCTTTCGCACAAGCTCAGTGTTAAGATTGACAATAATAGTGGGGCCATTTTCATTTTAGTCTTTTAAAATAGTCCACTATAGGCATTTAAATCAACCAAAGAATATTGTTATCTTAAAGCACTATTTTATTTATAGACATATCTAGTACGTCTATATCTATATACTACACACTTACTAATAATTCAATTACACCATAGTATAAAGTGGGCATTTAATCTGTAAAGATTCAAAGTTTGTTTTTATTACTGTATGTAAATTAGACATTAATCCACTAAAGTGGTCTTCTTCAAGAAAGCTAAGCATACTCTATCCAATGAAAATTGGATTCTTTTCTGTAAAAGTGGGACCAACCAATGATTTTCTTCTGTGATGCTAAAGGAATCTTACTACAGCCCCACTGACAGTTTCATAAGGAGGCAGCCATCATAGCATCAGATAGCATGCACATTCAAGAATGAATTTTTTAACTGCTTTATAAGAAAATGGGAAAAGTCAATAAATATATATATTTCTTTAGAAACTGAGGATCTACCATATTTGTGTTGGTTTTTATTTTCACCATCAGTCTAAACATGGTTGTTTCTTACATTGTAATAAACAATTATTGTACAATATGCTGGTTTCTATAGGGTACTTTAAGTCTTGTTAGAATTTTCTTACTACGAATGTAAAATAATCAGTAAATAAAATTCCCAAAATAAACAAGACATCCCCTAGAAAATTATTATATTGAGAAACCTATGGGTATGAGATGAGAAAACAAATTCTTCCTAAACACATTAGAGTTGACCTCAAGAAGGAAACTCAGTATCTTAGTTGGAGCTGCTTTAATACTATAGACTAGGTGGCTTATAAACAATAGACTTTATTCCTCACAGTCTGGAGTCTGGAAGTCCAAGATTAGGGTGCCAACATGGTCACCTTCTGGTAAGAGGCCTCTTCTGGGTTGCAGATTCATCCTCACATGGTAGAAAAAAAAGCAAGTGAGTTCCCTGGGGTCCCTTTTATAAGAGCACTAGTTCCATTCATGAAGGCTCCATCCTCTTGACCTAATTACCTCCCAAAAGCCTCAGCTCCTACTACCATCACAATGCGAGTTGGGGTTTCAACATAAGAATTTTGGGAGGACACAAACATTCAGTCCATAACACTCAGTAAATGTAATAACATCCCTGAATTCAGAACTTCCACAACATGTGAAGCAATATGAAGAAAAGGTATTTCACTGAAGAAGTTTTAATTTCTGAATACATTTAAAACCTACTAGCTTACAATTAAAATTTCTCATTTTTATATTTGATGCTCACAGAGAAAAAAAAAATGGTAATGGTTCTTATTCCTGGCATCCAGAGTGACAATGAACTAAAGCAAATTACTTGCCTTCCCAACTCTGTGAAAAGGTTTCATGTCTTCTTAGTTGTTTAAAATGTAATTCTTCATTTTGATGTATCATATTTTTAAATAAAAATATTCTTCTAGAGGATCATTCAATTTTTGGAGGTTTTCTTTTAATGTAGCCAATAATGCCAATGCAATTTTTGTCTGGAAAAAACTTAGTTATGGCTGCCATAGCAAGAATGACCATTTGATTTTTTTTAAATAAATAATTGAGGAGATGAAGAAACCAAAAGACTGTTAAAATTGGGCCACAAAAAAGCCAATTTTCTCTTACACCTATTTTCAGAGCATATCTGACTAATCTGACACCCAGATAACTTTGACACTGAAACAAATGTTTCTCAAGGAATTTGTAAGTGTACAAATTTGACTAATTGAATTTGACTAATTGTCAAAAAGGAAGTTCACCAAGAGACCAAGGAACAAAACACAAACTTCTTGTGTGAGTAGAGCAGGGGGTGGTATTTTAAAGGTCAAAGGGGCATAGAAACAATGAGCAAACAGGTCTAGCAAAGGGCCAGACGAGGAAGCAGAGTAAACAACCAGCCACAACACAGCAGGACTTTTGAGTCGGTACCTCTCACCCTGTCCACATGATTACTTACAGTTCAGAGAAATTAAAGCTTACTTTAAACTTTTCTGTTTTTAATCAGTCTAGTGATTTTTCTACACAATAGACAAAGTTCTCAACTGGGACTGAGAAAAGTAAGAAAAAAAGCCTAAGACCTTCTTCCAGTGGATTTTTCACTCAAAAAAGAAAGCAGAATCTTATCTCTAACTCCATAGAGGATTATAGAAGCAGCAGGAATCTCTGAAATATTTATACATAAACCCTGAACCTCCACACCCACCTTTAAATATATATGTAATTATATAATTATCTATACTATAAATATAAAATAAACTATATTTATATATAAATATATATACTATAAATTATATAAAATATACTAATATAAAATAAATCTATAACATACTCTATAATAGATTTTATATATTAATTGTATTATGTATAAATAATATATTTATATATAGTTTATATTTTTTTATAATAAAATAATACATCTTTATATGTATTGTGGACCTAGAGAAGCCATTCACTGCAGACAAGATGGTTGGCCTTTCATCCCAAAGCCTAGCCCTACACACAAAGCATAAACACATTCAAAGTGTTGATGTAATGAAGTATAACTGATGCAATTCCTTCCTTTTTATTGTAAATACACATAAAATTCTCCATTTTAAAGTGTACAACTCAGTGGTATTTAGTATATTACAAAATTATGCAAATATCAATGTTATTTAGTTCCATAATATTGTCATCACTCAAAAATATACCTCATACCCATTAGCAGTCACTCCCCACTTTCCCTTCCCACGAGTCCTGGTGGCAGTTGCCAGTAATCTACTTTCTGTCTCTTTGAATTTGCCTATTCCATACATTTCATATGAATAGAGTCATACAATAAGTGGTCTTTTGTGTCTGGCCTCTTTTACTTAGTGTAACGTTTTCAAAGTTCAACTATAGTATACAGTGTATCAGTACATCACTCCTTTTTTGTAACTGAATAATATCCCACTGTCTAAACATACCACATTTTGTTAATCCATTCATCATTTGGACATCTGTTGACAGGTTGTTTCCACCTGCAACTCCTTTTTATCTTGAGTGTAAAAAGGGAAAACTGCCTTCTAAACAATTCATCCACTAATTTCACAGCCTAAATCCCCTATTTTTTGTTTCATTTTTAACTAAAAAGAATAGCAAGTGAAAAAAAATATTTTCCTTCATTCATAGAAGCAAAATCCTGGAAAAACTTTGAAAAGCTAACACATGAGTTCTCTTAGAGGTACAAGCATCCTCAGTAAACATAAAAATCTCATGCTTTCTTTTAATGAAAGTTGAAATTCAAAATAAATATCTTCACTAAAAACAAACCAAAGCAATAAGACAAAGCCCTGTTTTGTTTTCAAACTGCAGACTCCCTCCCCAACTCCTCCATGAGAACCACTGATTTAAACCAGCTTGCAACAATAGTAATTATGAAGATAATTCATCATCAGTCATTATTATTCAGCAGCAAACATTTATTAAGCTACTTCTATGATAATCCCTTCCAACATTAAACAGTGTGATGTAGTAGTACAGAAGAACCAGGGTTCTATCTTAGTTCTAATAATAATTAGCTGTGAGACTTACCTTCTTGGGACTTTGGTTTCTTTATCTGTAAAACTGACATATTGAAACAAGGTATTTTCCAGCCTTAAAAAACTCAACTAATCCCTACCCAAGGGCTGCATTGAGAGAAAAGATGGGTCTATTTACCAAATTTTTTAAAGCATCTCAGTATTCTTTGTATTCAGTGGTTGTTGGGAAGGATTAGGCACTGATGGAAGAGAAAATGAGTAGTTTCCTCCCCCAAACAGGTTTTCCCAGTGTAGATTCATTACTGGGGCCCAGGACATAAAAAGTTACCAAATTTAACTATAAATTTTTGAAGTTACAATCCAAAATAAAAGTTTTTAGTGTTTTATCTGTTAAATTTTATGTTTTTGCTCCTCTTCACTGATACTAACTGAAATATGAGTGATCATGTTAAATTGAAAGTTGGTTTACCTCTTTTCAGCAGTGAAAGAAGCCTAGCTTCCAAACACACTTCCAGGGAAATTTTATGTTCTTACATAGTAGGTCTCAGTAATGAGGACTGAACTAGTTGTTTCCCTCACTTCACCATTCTAATGCCCATACTTGGGATCTGAGACTTCCACGCTCTCTAACTGAACAGAGTTATGTTCTGACAGTGACTAGGAAAGGCCTCTTGGTTATTCAGACTTCTCAAAATAGTAATTTCCCTTCAGCTACCAGGTTTCCCTGTTAACTAATTTATTTGACAATTTGCAGCCTCCATCCTCTCCAAACATAAAATCTATTACATACACATATTTTTTAATGATGATAGGATTCTGAATTTAGATGCCACCTAGTCAAACCATCATATTTTTAGGCTTATTCAAGGTCACAGTTTGTTGAGCAAGAGTACTGTGCCTAGAATGCAGATCCCATTAATTATATGAGGGCTATTTCATTGGCCATACTCCAAATTCAACACTGATAAACAATCTCTTTGCTTCCTCAAAGTGAACACCCCAAATCATGGACCAGCCCTGCTGGATGCCTTGACCAGTTGTCACCAACTGCTGTTAAATGCAGGTGGGTTGAAATAACAAAGATACCAACCTGATTCTGATTTACTCTGTTAAACTTTAGCTGATTTGTTCTTCTTAAAATCTTGGGAAAGGCAGAAGTAATTGTGTTACGTAAAATACTCCTGAAGTCTAGAAACTGAAAGTTAAGGACCAATCATGTAGACCTTAATATCCTTGAGAGCAATTACCAAAAGAATAAAAGCCTATAACTAAAGATCCAAATGGAACTCTCTGCATGGGGGAGACTTGAGAGCCATAGTTGTGAAGATGGAGAGGGGCTAACAGTCTCCTTGTTCAGAAGTTGGACCAAAAGGCTTACAGAGCCCTTCTTTCCACAAGATTACTGTGAAGTAAAAGTTAATGTAAAGACTGCTGCCATTCGAGGCAGAGCCAGGATGGCGGTGTGAGTAGAGCAGTGGAAATCTCCTCCCAAAACCACATATATACATGAAAATATAACAAAAACAACTGTTCCTAAAATAGAGACCAGAGGACACAGGACAACATCCAGACCACATCCACACCTGCGAGAACCCAGCGCCTCACGAAGGGGGTAAGATACAAGCCCTGGCCCTGCGGGACCCGAGCACCCCTCCCCCTGGCCCCTGGCGGGTGGAGAGGAGTCAGCAGGGAGGGAAAGAGAGCCCAGGACTGCTGAACACACAGCCCCAGGATTCCGGACCAGAGCGCAGACACAGTGCATGCGTGGGGTCCTGGATACTAGGGAAACAGGGCGGCAGGACCAGTGAACAGGTGCCTGAGGCTGACGCCAGAGAACAAAGAAACTGGAGCGGTTTTTTTTTTTTTTT